TATGAAGTATCTGTTGGTCAAACAGTTGAAAAACCATCGTCGAAACGTGGTCGTTACACATCAGGATATGACGCGTTGGAATTTGCCATGATATGCGATAGATTTGGCATTTCTGATAGAGTGGCTTTTGCTTTAGCAACAGCACTTTTCAAAGACCTCAATATAAGAGATACCGACGCTAATTTTATGATTATGGATAAGTCGAAAGTAGCTAGAGAAAAACAGAAATGTAGAGATATGGTGCTTTGTAAGCGAAATGTTGGTTCTTCTATATTATTATTTTCATTTGATGGGAGAAAAAATGACTCTTTCATACAACAACAAATTAATGACAAATTTCATCAAAATATAGTAAAAGAGCATCATTTAGTTGCTACAAAGGAGCCTAATGCCACATTACTTGGATATGTAAAGTTGAATGGCAATAATGCAAAAACTCAACAAGAAACTTTAAATGAATTTTTTGTTAACAAAGATATACCACTAGATTCATTCATTGGCATTTGTTGCGATAGCGAAGTTACCAATACTGGAACAGAAAATAGTGTTTTACGCTGATTTGAATTGCAAATAGGAAGACTATTGCATTGGTTTATATGTCTACTACATTTTAATGAACTTCCATTACGTCATTTATACGAAACATTGGAGAAATTAGCCACATCTGGACCTCGTACATTAACTGAAGAGTTAGACCAAAAGATTGTAGAATGTCACAAATTGCAGGTGAGTAATAATTAATTTATTTTAATATCTGAAAATAATTAATTTATTTTAATATTTTAACATTACATAAGATCTATGTATTTCTATACAAATAAACACTATTTTATTCAGATTGTAAGTGACTTTATATCGATTCCATTGAAGAATATGCCTCCGCTTTTGGAAGATCAACATCAAAAAGATTTTTCTACAGACGTTCAATATTTATACAAGATAGGTCAAGCAATTTCCAATGGCATCTGCCCAATGGATTTGGCTAATATTAAACCAGGACCAATATCACATGCATGCTGGTTAACTAAGGCTAGCAGATTATTAAGATTATACGTGACAACTAACAATCCGTCAAAAAATTTAAAAATTCTAGCAGTTTATATAATTTTAACATTAAATATTATAGTTCTGTAGTATACACTAGTCAACTTTTATCGTAATTTATTCAATGGACAAAATATTTATCCCCAAATTTACGTAATATTATAATTAAAGTTGTTGACAATAATTCATATTACGCACACCCAGAAAATGTGTTATTGGGTATGCTATTTGATAAGAGAAAAGACATACACAACAGGGCCATAGAAAAAATTCTAAATTTTCGGGTTAATTTAGACGATACTAGTAAAATTAGAAAATACAAAAAACCGAAGATTAATTACGAGTGTACCGATTACACCAATATGATTGATTTGAATGATGATGTTTTATCTGAACCACCGTTTACACCTCACCTTCCCTTTGATAACTTAAAAGACCTTTTACAATTTGATGATATGAGACTGATGGATCCTCAAATTCCATTACATATTCAAGGAACAGAGAGATGCATTCAATTGCTAACTACTGTTTCGCGATGTGTCACTCACAAAAATCGAGAAAGGGTTCTGGCGGTAACTGTAGAGAGCAGAAAAAGAACTCCTCGCTTGGACAGCAAAATAGAGTTCAAAAACAAATTATAGTTTCATACCCTTATTATTTATTACGGGATTGTTTTGAGTCTAAAAAATTGTTGTAAAAAAGGATTTTAAGTTTATTATTGATTTTTGAATGTCAAGAATAATTTGTGATTTTAGAATATATTTTGTGTTAGTGAATTATTTTATTTAAGCTAATTTATTGAAAAAACTTTTACTTATTTTTAAGGTTTTTTTTGTTTTAAATGTTGTCAAAATGGCCGAAGCAGAATCTTTAAATTTCATTTAACAAATATCTTGAAAATTTGAAGAGATGGGTATAGAGAATAGTATATGAAAAAACTCAAAATTTAATTCTCTTTCAGATGATATTTTCATTTAGTGGGTGTTCCATTTAAAATAAGTGAGAAAAATAACTCTTTTAAAAATGTTTACGTTCATCCACATTGTAGAGGAAAATCAAAGTTTTAGTAAATGACTGTTTACAAAAATATGCTTAATAAAACTGACAAAAATAAAATCATCCAGGTTTTACAGATTTTGAGCAATGAGCCCTCAAAGTAGACCATGTTTTGATAAAAAATCTTGTATATCTCTTTAACTATTGGTGCTAGGCTATTAGTTTAAAGGAACTTATTTTATTTTTATGTCTCAAGGGATTCATTTTTGTAAAAAAATATAGGGTGCTTTATTTAAAAAAAGGTAACTTTGTATCGCCACGCTTTTTTGGAACACTCTGTATAAATGAAAATAATTTTAGAATATAGCTTTTAAAAATCCTCACTACTTTTATATAAAACAATTTTTTGTAAGTAGCACAGTTTAGCCGCTATCCTCCGCCGCGGTTGAATTGAGACACCCTGTATAAATACATTCTTTTATCAATTATATTTTTATTGCTGTTTTGAGTTTTATTTTCCAAGCTTTTTTTCCTAACAGATTTTTTGTTATCTATGTATATATTAAATATACTTGAAAAGTAGAATAAAATACAAAATAGAAATAATATTGCATTTTTTTATATTAAAAAATAATTAAACATAAATGGCTATATAGCGACCCCTAGCAGTGGTTTACAAAGAATATAAATGGCACAAACTAATTCCTCGAACCAAGAAACAGTTTGGTAGAATTCTTTATCAATATAAAAATCTGAATAAAACAAAATAAAGATACAATTCTGCACTTTTAGAACGGTAATAATAGTATATTAAACGAGACTTTATTTTTGAAAATTGGGGGTATCAAAATTAAATTTGGTGGTGTGGTTTGTTTAGCATTTTTTCTTAGAATTTTACTTAGAATCCGAATATGCTATACGCTTTAAAAAAAAAAATTAACCCGCCCTAATATATATATATATATATATATATATATATATATATATATATATATATATATATATATATATATATATATATATATATATATATATATATATATATATATATATATATATTTATATATATATTTATATATATATATATATATATATATATATATATATATATATATATATATATATATATATATATATATATATATATATATATATATATATATATATATATATATATCAGGGTGTTAGCCAGCCCAATGGCACACCGTATACTGTGGAATTCTCAATAGCAAAATTCAATGACCTTTTTTTTATTTTGAAGTAATAAGATATAAATGAAAATTCCCAATATTTTGTATGACAATAACAATGAAAATTTTCCAATTTCACAAAAATTAGTTTCTCCTTGTTCTCTTTGATGATTTAGACCATGATCACACTAAAACCTTTTATTGTATTGGATAGGATTTAGACTTAGCCTCCTGATTTTAAAGAACTGTTACGATAAACTTCTACTCTAAGGAAACTGCTTTTTGCATATCTAATAACTCTTTTTTATCAGCTATCAAAAACATTAAAAAAGTGAAAAAACTAGAGTTGGAATCAGAGTCATAAAAAAAGAGATCATTAGTCTCTATAGAAAAAATTTAAATTATCGCATTTAATTCAAATTCAAATTTATCAATTCAAAACATCGCAGATATGGCCACAAGTTAGTATAATGTAACATAAAACGTTTTAAGAAAACTGCAGATAAAATTCCACCAAAAAATCATAAAGGTTATCCATGAACAAATTAGAAGCAAGTCAGCTCAATCAGGAAGATTAATTGAAAAGAACTTGAAACCAATCCTAAAGCCATAAGAAATTTGATTAAAACAAACAACATGAAAAAAGCTTTGAAAAATAACCTTTGGTATGAAAAAAATATACTTTAAAATATATTATAAAAATTAAGAAGCTTTAATTGTTAAGAGATGCAAAATGATAAAGAAACACCACGGTGGCTCAACAATAATTTTTTATGGTAAAAAAATATTTCTCCTTAAGTGTCCGCTTAACAGACAAAATGATGTTAGCGGAGTAAGTTTGCAAGAGATAAAATGCAAAAGCTATTCCTTGATACTAAATCGCATGAGGGGTTATGGTTTTTGGTGCATTTTTTAAGGAAGGAAGATTCCCACTAAAATTAATTGATAGAGGAATCCAGATTTGAACTGCCAGCAGTCTAGATTTGAACTGATTGGATTTTTTTGCATTGGGTTACATGTTGGAAAAAACTTGAAATGTAATAATTTAAATGATTTCAAGGCTTTACTAGTCAAAATTTGAAATGAAGTTTTTTTTTCTGTGCCAGCTGTAATAAATTTATATAGATTTCATTTACGTATCAAAGAAAAATAAGAAAGATTTTAAATCAGTTAACTTTTTGTATTAAATATTAATGTAACTTTCATAAAAATATTGTTATTTATAAATCATTTGTAAATCGCCATCCAATACTTCTAAAGATTCAACTTATCATCACACTTTTTACATTCACCCTATCAACAAACTTTTTACATTCACCCTATCATCACACTTTTTACCTTCACTCTATCATCACACTTCTTACCTTCACCTTATCATATTCACCCTATCACTCAAACGTTTTTTTATCTATTTATGCAATTTATGTCTATTTACCATTGCAAAAAAATTGATGCTTGACTTTCTTCAATACTCTCTCTAAACTAAATAATAAGTGAATATTGTTTTTCTACCTGCTAAATAAATGGTAAACTATTTATTTTAATACCTTTCAGATTCGATTTAATTTCACATTTAATACACTTTTAAACATTTAAAAACATTTAATACACTTTTAAACAAAATATTGATACTTAAAAATTGCCAATTCTAAAAATATTGTTTTCTTTAAAATGTTTAAACTTATTTTGTTAATTTGATTAATAAAAAAATAAATTGGCTCAGGCTCTGAATAACAAACTAAATAATTAAGATCAGAAATTTTAAATTACCTATTCATTTTATCGCTATCCAATGTGTAGGTACCTTGTGTTAACGAACCTTGTGATGAATAACATTTGTTGCCAATGTTTCCTTCACTTTTTTGAAAACCTAAATAATGTACATTTTGTGACTAGATTAATCTATGCATTACTCTGTTTTAGATGCAGCATGTAACCATAATTCCATTTCATGCAATATTTTTAGCACCATGAATAAATTCTTGATGATGCTAAATCATGCTTTATCATAACAATTCTCAATTTATTAAAAACATCTTGAAAATACACATTTTCAAAAAAAGACAAATAATGAATCTTATAATATAAATCTTATATATAAAAAAAATGTTTAAAAATATTAATAAATAAACTTTTGAGTGTTAAATTGTTTTACAAATTGATTGATAGATGATTTGTATGTTAAAGCTTTCTTAACTTACCATGAAAGAGAAGATTTTAAAAAATCTGATAATCAACCAAAGTATCACAAATAATTTTACTGTTATGATTAAATGTTTTTTTTTTGAAAGTTAAAGCAGATACTATTATGGTGCCTATTGTTTCGTGGGAGAATGGATCAGAATGTAGCTTTTTATGTCTTTATATTTATATATAAAGTTTAACTTAGGTTCTCACTATGTTAATTATACTTAGTTTCTCGAAATTATTTACTTTTCAACTTACTCTTTTTTCTTTACTTTTTAAAGTTATTTTTGATTTATGTAAACTTGTTGTGTAATTCTTTTTCTGTTGTAAAAGTATTGTACTTTTTTGGCATCTCTGAAAAGAATGCAGAAATTTGTTCTATAAAGGTTTTATAGTTCTTTTATAGTTTTGAAAAATAATTTTTACTGTTATTCTTTACATTGTCTTGATTCAGAATTTTAGCATAAATTAATCAATTTTGTGTAATCAACTAAAATTGTAAAAGTATTGTTGCAATAATATGTAGCAACAATATGGACAAAAAATATTTTCTCTTTTATAAACTGTCAAAGAAAAGCCATGTGTTATGTAAAATATATTTATGATTATATATAAATAAAGAGATAAACATAAAAAAATAATGGATTGCCAAAAAAACTCAAGTCTTAAAATTTAAACACAATGATGATATTAGTTGCAAAATTGAATGATTTTAAAAAGCATAATTATTTAGAAAATTAGTTGTCACTCTTTCATGTTTTAGGGTTGCTTTAATATTCCTGAAACCTGTTAAGTGATAAAAAAATTTACTGTTTTAGAAATTTTTGTTTAAAAACTTTTTCTGCATTATCAAGACATCCAGAAATAGACTAAATCAAAACTACAGATATTTTTGGATTTTTTAAAAAGTTTTTAGATGCATGGAAAATTATTAATATAAGCAAGCTTAACAATGACAAATGACCAAAAAATCAATCAGATATTTTAAGACAAATATATAATAGAGATATAAAATTCAATGAGATATTTAAAGATAAATATATAATATATATAATAGAGATATAAACTATGTGATGTGATTAAAGTTGTACTAAACCATCAGTTACATTTAAAAAATACTTGAAAATGTCATTTATTAATAAGAAACTGAATTGTAAGTTCAGCTGAACATATCTAAAAATTTCAAAATCGCTAAAAGTTTTATTTAAAAGAAATAAAAATATTGAGTCATTTAAAAAAACATTTCATTTTTTTTCAATTTTATTTTCTTCATATTATTCATTTTTACAAGTTTATATATTATACACTAATATACTATATTATATATTATTAAATTAATACATTTTAATATTTATTCATATAATACACTATTAGTAGTGTTATATATGAATATGTTATCCTTACATTTTTTTATATTAATTAGTTTTGTGATAAGCATGAAGTTACTTTGTGATAATTGTGGAGATGTTGTGACAAATAGAGATGATGTTTGGTATTTATGGAGATGGTTTGTAATGAGCATGCAGATGTTATGAGATGATCATAGTGATTCATAATGATAATTATGCTTTGTAAATATCATTAAGATGCTCTGTGATAAAAAAAATAAAACTTACTAAATACATTTTCCTTAAGAGACAAATCTTGCTCAAGTTCTTCACTTAGTCCATGTAAAGTAGGCATGCTTGAAAATGATTTTAGTTTCTCAATAGATTTGTTACTAGATGTTAAATATGACATTTCATTCAGGTCGAGCAAGGTTTTAAAATCTGGTGCAGAAAAACTTGGTGACCATGCTGTTTTAAAGGATGTGTTTGATGCATCTTGGTTTATTCTTCTATCTTTATTTGTAATATTAAATTTAAAAATATGGAATTTTCTAATAAAAGCAAGTTCATAATTCAATATTTAACTTTTATTAAATTTAAATTTTTTCAATGTTATACTTTTATTTTCTACATTCAAAAACTAGCATAATAAAAGAATTATAAAAGAATACAAAATATAATTACCACTAGAATGATTTTGAAACAAATTCTGTGATTCCAAACTTTTTAAATGACATCTTTTTACTATATCAATTTTTTCAGAAACTGAATCTTCAAAACATTTGCTTTTTATTTTTAGAGGCCCAGGGTCAAAGGGATGCTCACCGTATTCTTTTTGCATAAAACTATATTTAGGTAAAACTAATGGTATCTCTTCTGGAAGTTGCTAATAAATAATGTGAAAACTATTTTTTATACAAAGATCTATTTTATTAAAACTATTTTATTATACAAATCTTAAATCTAAAGACGCATTATATTAATCTATTATTTTTGAAACACTATTGATCAATGATAAAAATTGAAAAGTAGATAAATAATTTTCAGAACAATTAAAAAAATTTTTAATTAACATTTTTATAATGAACTAAAGATTGTTTTGGTCATTTTTATTGTGAACTAAAGATTGATTTGGTCATTTTTATTGTGAACTAAAGATTGTTTTAGTCTTAAAACATTTTTATTGTGAACTAAAGATTATTTTAAACTGTTTAATTAAGCAATCATAAACTTTTTTAAATTTTAATAATAATTAAATAACTTTAAAATTCTTTTTTAAATGTTAAAATATTTTTATTAAGTTTGATTTGCAAAAGTTGGCGATCGAATTTGATCAGCTAAAAATGATTTTCAAAGTATCAATTTTTATGAAAGTCAACAACAATTGATCATTTATCAGCTATTATTTCGAGCCTTGTGATATAGAAAATCTAAGATTATATATAAAGATGTTGCAGCCTATAATAATGGTGGTAATCAAGAAAGTAATGAATCTAGTGAAGTTAAACCTTACATATATACATAGTAAATAATGCAAACACGCATATATACATAGTAAATTACAAGTGGATGAACACTGTGCACAAGTTAATGAACACTGTGAACAAAAACACTAACATACATTTATATAAAGTGACTCAAGGGTAAACCACCCTGTCAGAGGTCCATACAGAACACAAACATACAAATATATTAAAAAGCCCACTCACTAAACATCATCAGCAGTATTGTAAAGCAGTTCGGCTTCCTCTTCATAAACAATTTTTACCTTTTTAATTTAACCATAAATAAATTTTTATTTAAATATTTTAAATGTTTTTAAATATTTTAATGCAATAAAAACTTTTGATTTAATATTTTTATTGCTTGTTGGAAGTAAAAGTGGAAGTAAAGGTGCATTTGGCAATGCCAACCTAAATGCCAATCTAAAAGTGTCTGAGGTGAGGTGAGTAAAAGTGTCTGAGGTGAGGTGAGTAAAAGTGTCTGAGGTGAGGTGAGTTAAAGTGTCTGAGGTGAGGTGAGTAAAAAGTGTCTGAGGTGGGAAAAAAAGATCAAGATCAAGACTTTCCGCTCTTCATGCTTAAAATTCATGCTTAAAATTAAGCTAAAGTTTCTTGCACTGTTGGCAGACTCTACTGTGGATAAAGTGAAAGGTGCTAAAGAATTTTGAATGTCAGACCATTCCGGAGATTGCATATTGTTAAAAAACCTAGATGTTGAGGACAAAAAAACCTTTTAATGTTGCGTGCATTCAATACTATCAATAACGTATTTTGCAACACCAAGCAGAAAATATGAACTCAGAAACTGCTGGACATATAAGCTGGACAGAAAGCATTCACACCTCTACCAACTTCAAAACACATTCTTGGACAAAAACATCATAGCCAAAATACTCTCATCATGTCATGCTAGTCACTCTGCATCCTTATGCACAGAATACATATTTTGAACACAGAACTCAAAATATTGAACATTGCGGATTCAGAGACTTTGTTTCTAATTGCTTTGGGCGCATTGCTGAAATAGTGAAAGAGTTCATAACCAGGAGACAATTAATCCAAGACTTTTTTGAAGCGACTGTGGACAAAAACTTGAACAAGCTTGTATCTAGCTGTATCAGTTTATATTCAGAACAATTGGTTCATTCTCTGTTCAGTAGTGTATGATGAAGTAGGCAAGATGGTTACTTTTTGAATGGAATTACTTGGAATTGACAAGAGAAGAACAGACAAACCAAGAATTACTTAATGATTTTACCTGGAGTTGCATACATAAGTTTTTCAAATAAAAATTATGAAAAGAAAACTAAAAGCAATTTAGACTTAAACTGTGGCAGAGGAAAGCTTCTTGCTGCTATTTTGGCTGAAATTATAAACACAATGATTTTTTCTCTCCAGTCATCAATCCAGACTCTAATGACGTACAAAAAGACTTTGATTATGAAAGTGAAAGAACAGACCGCATAATTGAGCATGCGCCACTGACAAATCATGGATGAGTTGGAGTTCGCAAAGCTGGATAATCGCATAAAAGTATGATGGAACTACTTGATGAATTCAGATTATTTAGAATTACCTGGAAGCAAGAAGAAGAAACATTGGAAATAGGCAAGGACTTCCTGCAAAGTAGGACAAATCAGGAAGCTAGAAGCTGATTTATTAGCTAGAGTGAAACAGGCTCGTCAACTAGCGGTGATTAAAATCTGAAATTTGAAAAAAGTTTATTATTTGCCATACCCTTATAACATGTCTATAAATAGAAATATTTTATTATAATGCTTATAAAATGAAAATTTTATAAGCATATAATAATTATCTCATAATTATTTTACAGAACAGAATTGTGTATAACAATTCATATAATATAAGGATTGCCATTAAAATCTAACCCAGATTTAAGTGACAATCCTTATATTATATAAGATAACTATTTATAGTTAATTTTACTAATTTTACCTCTAGTCCATATGGTCCTACTATTTCTTCTGCCAGACTTTGTATACATTTTTGTGATACATTCACATCAACATGTTTGTTACAAATCTAATATTTAAAAGTAAAAGTTTAAAGAAACAAAGATTTTCATAAAATTTTTATAAAATTAAATAGATAAACTGGCAAATTTTAATTTCTAGTATTCTGAGAAATCTGCCTATCACAAAACTTGTGAACTAAATATTGTTTTGAATTGAAGATTCTTGTTAAAAGATAAAACTAGTGCCTTAAATTGGTTGACATGAATGCCATTATTAAAACTGAGATTGGTTAGAAATTGGTTGATATAAATAGATTAAAAATTGGTTGATATGATTGCCCATTGATTACATGATGAATATAAATTTTATGCTTTAAATAAACTAAAGATTGTTACAAATTCCGTGTTTTAAATAACTTAAAGATAGTTAGCTATTCTTGCTTTAAATGACATAAAACTTGTTAACTTTTGAACTTAAAGTTTCAAAAAAATCAATAAAAAAGTCAACAAAATTGACAATTTTTATAATACAAACATATTATAATTAAAATATTTACAATATAAACCTCTAGGTTTGTATACACACCTAATAATATAAACCTCTAGCTTTGTATACACACCTAATATAAACTTCTAGCTTTTGTATACACACCTAATAATATAAACCTCTAGCTTTGTATACACACCTAACAATATAGGTCTCTAGCTTTAGATACCTAACAATACATAACAACTTTTAAATCCAGAAAAGACCTTTTAGTAATAAATTAGCAAAAAATGTAATAAAGTAATAAATCATATCAACAAATACTATTATTTAAATATTAAATAAATACTAATACACTAACTTTAAATAAATACAAAAACTTATGTAAAGATAGTATATTTTTAAATAAATACTAATACTAGGTTGGTTGAAAAGTTCGCGGAGCGGCACCTATGTTGCAGTAGTAGAAACAAATTTATAACTGTATTAAACGTATTCATTCTTCGTATGAACGCATAAAAAATTTCAAGTCGATATGTCATTTCAGTCTTTGTTTACAAGCTATTGAAATTAGACGTGTCATAGTATTTTTTAAAATGGAAAATATTGAACATCGTGCTGTAATAAAATTCTTTGTGAAAAAAGGTTTAAAGCCCATGGAAATTCATAATGAAATGGTAAATGTGTTGGGTGATGATGCTCCTTCAAAAACAACAGTATGCAAATGGGCTGCGGAGTTTCAACGTGGGCGTTCAAGCCTTGAAGATGACCCTCGCTCTGGACGTCCAAAAAGTGCTACTACTAAAGAAACGATTAATGCTGTGCATGACATGGTTATGGATGATAGACGATTGACCAAACGTGAAATTGCTGAGGCTGTGGGCATCTCAGATGAACGGGTATTACACATCTTGCACGATGAATTACGTCTGAGAAAGCTGTTGGCAAGATGGGTGCCGCATTCGCTAACTCTGGATCAGAAACGCACTCGAGTAAAACTTTCTCAAGAACATTTGGCCCGTTTTCAAAAGAATAAAACAGATTTTGTGCGTCGATTTGTAACCATGGATGAGACTTGGGTTTACCACTATGATCCAAAGCTGCGACAACAAACTGCAGAGTGGACAGAACCCGGTTGTTCAGCTCCGAAGCAAGTGAAGGTGTCAAAATCGTCAAAGAAGGTTATGGCATCAGTTTTTTGGGATGCGAAAGGAATTTTATTAATAGATTACCTTCAAACCGGTAAAACGATAACAGGTGAATATTATAAAAATCTTTTGGACCAGTTGGATAAAAAAATTCGTGAGAAAAGACCTGGTTTGCTGCATAAAAAAATCATTTATCACCAGGACAACGCACCTGCTCATATCAGCGATGTTGCAAAGGCGAAATTGGTCGAATTAAAGTACGAACGCTTGGAACATCCACCCTATTCACCAGATCTGGCTCCGTCCGACTTCCACCTCTTTCCATATCTCAAAAAATTTCTACGTGGAAAGCGTTTCTCATCACATGAAGAAGTCATTGCAGCCGTAAATGGGTATTTTGAAGGCCTTCCGGAATCGCACTTCAGAGATGGGATACATGAATTGGAGAATCGTTGGAAAAAGTGTATTGCTCTTAAGGGAAAATATACTGAAGAATAAAGTCATTTTTTGAATCATAAAATTGTTTTTTCATTTCCGCTCCGCGAACTTTTCAACCAACCTAGTATATTAATTTTGAACAAATGCAAATATACTAACTTTACAAAAAAAAAAAAAAAAAAACCTTTAAGTTGAAATAATAATAAAACACAATATTTTATTAATTTAAAAAAGAAAAGGAAAAGCGTGTACCTGTATAATTTTTTCAAGGGACACACGACATTTATAATTATCTTCAGTCATTTGACACATTAGTGATTCAATCTCAAAGCTCAATGTAAATTCCTATCAAAACAAAAAATATCAACAAACTTTATTGAAATCTAACAATCAGAAAAAAATACTTGATTTAAAATTATTGTTTGAAATACAAGAAGTTGTGATGTTCTATAATACAAAATATATTGCTTTTTATATATAAATATATACATATATATATATACATATATATACATATATATATATATATATATATATATATATATATATATATATATATATATATATATATATATGCATATATACATATATATATATATATATATATATATATATATATAAATATATATATATATATACATGTATATATATATATATATATATATATATATATATATATATATATATATATATATATATATATATATATATATATATATATATATATATATATATATATATATATATATATATATATATATATATATATATATATATATATATATATATATATATATATATATATATATATATATAAAGCACTCTTAACCCTTAACTTTGAAACATGTTAAATTTTAGTAAAAAAGTCACATAAATTTAATGTGTTTTTTAGAAGACACAGCATGAGTTATTTTCTTCAAATTTAACATGTTTCAAAGTTAAGGGTTAAGAGTAACTAATGAAACTTGAACCACAAAAATCTGTGTAATAACACATATCAATATGATGCGAATTCTAGATTATACATTATTTGAACTACAAAAAACTATGTAATAATACGTATCAACATGATGCAAACTCTAGACTATACGTTATTTAAACTACAAAAAATATTCAATAACATGAAAATAGATACTAAAATATTGTACAACTAGATTTTTAAACTAAAATCAACATTTACTTCAATAAAAGATTTCATGCCATTACAGACAAAAATTTAAAGCAAAATAAAAACTTGCACAAGCAGAATAAAAATAAGAAATTTTTATTTTAATATTTATTTTTTTACATTAAAATAAAAAGTATTAAAATAAACAGATTTCTATTCAATTGCATGAAATCCAAGGTTTATGATTTCCTCTATTTAAAATATAAATTTACTTTTCTTTATTTTTTTCAAATCAATGTTGTTGGAAAACCAAATACAGTTATGTTGTTTAGCTACTTTTGTAATTTTGCAAAACAATAACAATCAGGCTTAATATAGATACCTTAACTTGTAGAGCTCTTTGTACACAAGATAAAGAAAAATATTAACACAAAATAGGCTTACAATAGTAAAGGCTTCATTTTCTGCAGAAGTCAGAACACACATTCCTAGTGAATAAACTAACATCTAAAAACCAAAAAAGTTATCAAGTTGTGTATGATTATTGCTGCTATTATTATAATTCTTATTATTTTCATCATCATCTTCACTAAATAATGACTTTTACAAACAAAGTATCATAAAAATAATTTATACTTATAATTTTATTATAATTATAATCATATATATATATATATATATATATATATATATATATATATATATATATATATATATATATATATATATATATATATATATGTATATATATATATAAATATATACATATATATATATATATACATATATATATATAAATATATATATATATATATATATATATATAAATATATATATATATATATATATATATATATATATATATATACCCTGATATATATATATATATATATATAATATATATATATATATATATATATATATATATATATATATACCCTGATATATATATATATATCAGGGTATATATATATATATATATATATATATATATATATATATATATATATATATATATATATATATATATATATATATATATATATATATATATATATATATATATATACCCTGATATATATATATATATATATATATATATATATATATATATATATATATATATATATATAGATATAGATATATATATATATGTATATATATATATATATATATATACACATATAGATATATATATATATAAATATATATAAATATATATATATATATATATATAAATATATATATATATATATATATATCAGGGTATATATATCAGGGTATATAAATATATATAATCATATATTATATATATATATATATATATATATATATATATATATATATATATATATATATATATATTTTTTTTTTTTTTTTTCTTAAAAATCTTCGCTTCCAACAAGGCTGCAAGCAACCACTAGTTAGTGCTGGAAGTTACTGGAAGAGAAAGATGAAGATTGTAGAGCAAGATAACGATTGACAGACGACTTAAAAGATTGCAAATTATACAAATCAGGAAAGTAAGATGAAGGAAGCGAATTCCAAAGAACTGATGTTCGAGGAAAAAAACTAGACGAATAAGAGTTTTTGGAGCACATAGGAACAGTAACAGAAAAAGGTTGAAGGTTGGCTGCAAGAGTAGGTCCAACTATGTTTACAATGCGTTTTTGCACCTTGTCTAAAAGAGAAAGGGCATCATTAGAAGATCCACCCCAGATATGGCAACAGTATTCCATTCAAGGCTGAATTTGAGATTTATAGAAATAGAGAATAGAATCAAGAGTAAGAAAGTGACGAGCTTGATAAAGAGAAGCGACTTTAGCAGATGCTAATTTTGCAACGGATTCGATATAAGGTTTCCAAGAAAGATCAGAAGTAAGAATTAATCCTAGAAGATGAAAGGTAGGAGACTCATCGAGTACATTACTGTTCATAAATATAGAAAGGTCTAAATTATTGCGATAACGATTGGCTGAAAAAAATTGAGTTTTATCTGAATTAAAGTTCACCAGCCACTGTGAGGCCCATGCTGTAGCAGAAGTTAGATCCTTTTCAAGCTCAGATGCCCCCTGCAAGCAATCAGAGGGAGTTGGCTTCTTATCATGACAAGAATAAATAATAGTATCATCAGCGAACAATGTCACCGTAGATGTGAGAAAATCTGGAAGATCGTTAATGTAAATTATAAAGAGTATAGGGCCAAGGATTGAACCTTGAGGAACCCCTGAGGTTACAGAATAAGAAGAAGAGTGCTGTCCATCAAGGACAACTTTTATACTACGATTGGAAAGGAAGGATTCAATTATCTTAAAAATGTTTCCAGATACACCGTAAGAAGAAAGCTTATGGAGAAGACCAACATGCCAAACTTTATCAAACGCCTTAGAAATGTCAAGAGCGATGGCCTTAACCTCTCCACCTTTATCTAATGTGCGATAAAACCGGTTATTACTGTTAGCAAATCAGCCGTAGAACGAGAAGATCGAAATCCATATTGATGATCATAAAGTAGGTTATGAGATTTGAGATGAGAGATTAAGTGTTTGTTAATTAAAGATTCAAAAACCTTGCTTTTGATAGGAAGAAGACTAATGGGACGGTAGTTAGATGAATCGGATCGCTTTCCAGAATTTTTAAAAATAGGGATAACAGATGCTGCTTTCCAGCAGGCTGGAAAACAACACTCTGATAAGCACTTGTTAAATAGTTTTGAAAGGATAGACGACAGCTCCGGAGAACACTTCTGCAAGACTATAACAGGTATGTTGTCCGGGCCGCAAGCTGTACAAGAGTCTAAGCAGGAAATCACTTTACATACAGAAGCTGGAGTGATACAGATATCAAGCAGTGGATCAACCTGTTTGACGGCTATATCAGGTAGAACGCAACTAGTGAAATCAAGAGATGATATTGATGAAAAGTTCTTGGCAAACAATTCAGCTTTGTCTTTATGTGAGGTGACAAAGTCTGAACCGTACAAAAGAGGTGGAATTACAGACTTGCCCTTATTATTGATACTATTAAAGATTCTCCAGAAGTCACGAGAGCCTAATTTTTGTGATGAAATACGAGATTTCATGATCTGAGAATAGTGGGCTTTGGCGTTAGACAAAACCTTTTTACAATGGTTCCTAGCAGTAATAAACAGACGTCTGTTTTCTGGAGAATTGTTTTGCTGATAGATATGGAAGTAATGGTTTCGATTGGCAATTGCAGCAGCACAATGTGAGGAAAACCATGGAGAAGAGTGAGGCTTGACCTAGAATCATCGAGAGGGAATAAAGGATTTCATGCCAGCCTGAATCTACGAAGTTATGTAAGAAGTACATTTGTCAACAGGAAGACGAAAGATTTCTACCCAGGGGCCATCACGAAGAAAATCACGAAAAGAGTCCCAGTCAGCTTTAAGGTAGTTGTAAGATGTGAAATGATAGGGAGATTCTGATGGTAAAGAAGAATGAGATAATAGTTTTAGAGAGACTAAACCATGATCAGAAGCACCTAAGGGTGAGTGTGGAGAAACTGAACACTGACTAGGATTAGAAACAAGACATAAGTCGAGTAGAGAAGGTAAATGATTCGGGTTGTCTGGAAAGCGAGTTGGAAAGTTGACTATTTGAGTTAGAGATTGAGAAAGGCAAAAGTTGAGGGCCTTAACGCCAGCAGAGTCACTGACACTAGAGCCAAGCCATTCAGTGTGATGAACATTAAAGTCACCGACAACAAAAATATTGGCTGATGGATAAAGAATGAGGGCTTGGTCAATATAATCAGAAATAACATCAAGAAGAGTGCAGTCTTGAGATGAAGGAGAACGATATAGAACAAAGAGAAAGGTGATAGAGTGAAGTGGTGCTAAACGAAAGCACATAAAAGAGTAGTCTGTGGATTCAAACCTAGTTTCCCGACAAATAGGTGAATTCTTACGAATGTAAATACATAGGCCAAGCATGTGGCTATAGGAGTCTTTACGAAATAAAGGAATATAACCATCAACACTAAGATCACAAGATGAGACAGCTCAACTCAAACTAGTCTCACAAAGAGCAAGTAGGTCTGGTGAACTTTGCAAGAGATAAGAAGAAAAGTTACTT